ATATTGCTTTGCTCGCCATAATGATAGATAGTTATATATATATTGGGCTTGACAAACAACAATAAATAGACAAGGACAGAATCACAGAGAGCGCTTGCTGAAGACAACAGAAGCTGTCGCGGTCTGTTTTCAAGGGTGCTTTATAGTTTCCTGGTCTATGACGTCACCCATGACGTATCGGGCTTCCATTGGACTGATTTTACACGTGCTTCATGACGCAATCACGCAGAGCGTTCCCCCACCGCGTCTCAAACGCAGCTCGAAGTTCCCTTGAAAGGGAAATAATATTTTTCGGGATGTATTATTCAGTCATTTGAAAAATGGAGAGGATAGAATGAAGAATGAGGATATTCTAGGAAAAGATTTAATAGACAGTCAGATATTTAGAACATTAATTGCGTTTATATATGATTCAGGTTTGGGATTTAGAATATAATATGTGTGTAACGTTGAACCCGCCATGGGGGCTGAGTGTGGACGGAGGAGCTGAACATCATTCGGCAGCGCCGAATGAAGCTCAATGAAACCTCTATTGCAGGTATGATAAATAATGATGATGTATGTGGGATGATATAGTTAGTAGTAGACAGGCAGACAGTTTTTAAAATTCAGACTTATCACCCAAGGTTAATTTGCCATCCAGCACAGTAGGTGGCGATAATGCTCCTTAGGAGTTAATCGCCATTAAACAAGAAGAAGAAGAAGAAGAAGAAGATTTAAATGAGCAGTTTACTTTAGTAAATTGTAGGTTGCTTTGGAATCGAAAAACTCAGTGGAAGAAAGACTCTAGGAAGAGAAGACGGGTGCACAATCCTAAGATTGCGGTAAGACTGCTATCTAAACTAAGATTTTTTAAGTAGCACAAGCTAAAAGTAGGCTTGCAAAAGAACAAGTGTAAGTTGCTTTATAAAAGTGTATTTTTTGGTCTTGTAATTTACAGGAAACAGTAACGTTACGCCGTCTTCACAATTCTGAGAAAAATTGTTGGCGCTACAAACCGGAGCAATGGTAAGATTAAAAATACTTTAATTCTCCTGTATAAGGAAATATATCCTTTAATAGATATGTTACCGATCTTAAAGGTCCAATATGTAATATTTTTGTAATAAAATATCCAAAAATCACTTGCACAGTGTGATATATTTCCTGCAGTTGTGTACTTACAATATCCCAAAAGTCTCCAAAGATTTTTCATTTCAGACAAATTCCAATTTTAAATAAGTGGCAGTCCCGGCCAACAAATGTCGCCTGTCCATGACGCAATATCCGCGTTAACCTTGGTTTCCTCAATATCACGTGGACAAATGCGGAAGTCGTGGTTATAGCTGTTTGACACATAATGGATCACGATTACTCTTTGCCGAGAATTGAAGTTCCAACAAAACGTAAGCGTCCATATACGGATACACGCAGACTTGTTGACAAATGTAGGAATAAAACCAGGATAAATATCGGCGTAGCGTTTTCGAGATGGAGAGAGCTTCGCGACGAACTGGGACTTGACAGGGACTCTGCTCTCGCGAGTGTATTAATAGACAGGTAATCTAATCTATGTTTGTTTATTTGTACAAGTAACGTATTAGGCATGTACAGTACTAATGATTTTAATAGATGAATTACACCACATTCCTGTACATTCTGTCACTTTAGCATTTTTATCAATAACGTTACCTGTTTGAACATAACATAACATGGCAAATGGATTGTTTTAGCTTCCAAAAAGGTGGACCATCCACGTCAACTCCTATCAAAAGACCTGTAATGCCTCTTCAAACACTGTCTACCATAGTTTCTTCCAGTGACTCTTAATCAGATAGGTAGGCAATTTCTGAATATCAATTCAAAGAGATGTTTCATAGAACTACATTGGCTACATTACTATAATTTACTTTACAGAGAGCATTGTTTTCTGGAGCCTGGAATTGAACACCTTTCCATGGCAGAAAGCAATGATGAGCAGCTATTACATGAAAGGTGAAGTTTTATGTTATATATTATTTTAGGAATGTGTTGTTATTATTTATTTTATCAAGCAGTTTATCTTTAACAAACTTCATTCATTCACCAAGCCAATCTTATTAATTAATTTATTTTTCTTCTCTGATGTGTTGGTTAGTTTTTCAAAGATGACTGTTAGTGATGAGTCCACCATTACCCTGAATGAAGATGTCAATGATCTACAGAATACCGTGTGAGTGTTCAGATGCATTGTTTAAATTCAAATCTTTGTTTGCAGTATATTCATGTTTTTGTAGTATTCACTGAAAAGTAGTTAATTATTGTTTATATAAATGATGATGATAATAATATAACATTACTAATATATATATATATATATATATATATATATATATATATATATATATATATTTCTTTCTTTCTGTAAATGTTGATTTTGCAGGATTGAATGGAGAAATTCTGATGATGCCACAAGGGACACAGACAGTGAAGACAGCGCGTCAGATGATGATTATGTACCCTCCATCTGTCTTCGGTTTGTCTACCGAACTAATTTTTATAGCTTATTTATAATAGATAAGTCTTCAACCCTGCTCATGTAAGTTCACTGTCCTGCAGAGTTTATATAAAACCAGATTCAGAATGTGATTTTCAAGCTATTGGGAAATGCTTGATCAGGTTGTTCTGGTGTTTTGGGGGTAGATGCTAAACTCTGCAGGACTATTAGACAAGAGGTGCAGAGTTGAAGACCTATTCTATCTAATAATTTTGTTTGGCTTATGCCAGTTGTTATAAACTGATTTGCCTTCCAGGCAGCATCACCAATATTGCAGATTTTTTAACTTTGAATATTAAAAATTAAGTAGAGGATTTTTATTAACATTAATGTTTACAGAACTGGAGGAGGCAATAAAGACTTTGTGAAGATTCAGGAGCTTCCAATTGTTGGCGTTGAAGAGACAGTTCATCTAGCAACACAAGATGAAGTAGTACCAGAAAGAGAAGAACATGTATCTATGTCTTCTGGCATCCAACAGGTCATGTGTGAGGAGGACATCATTGGACAAAAGGCATTGATTGTCTATGAGTCAATGTTGAAACACCTGGTCACATTTCTGCAGCTGCCTGTGGTGAGGTGTAATTTCATTGAGAGAGTTACAAATGTGTCATGCCAGGCTTCAAGACCTTTTGAAGTCCATCTTACTTCAAGGGGAACTGGCACTGTCATACACTGGGTAAATATATGTACATGCATATCTTCTTTTTAAATATTTAATTGTTTGGCTTTTTGCTGTTTGTGAAAATGTACCTATTTGTAATAGGTTCCATTCACAACATCTTACTATATATTCTTGTAATAAATGTAATGATCAACAGCTTAAATTTTCACACAGTACTAATGTGAAATAGATGATGTATACTATAATTAAAAGTGGCGTATAACATATTATGTGTTAGTGCAGACATGGAATTAACCTACTGTGTCATTATCTTCTAGAAGTGTTCAAATGGACACAGAGTATGGACGTGGAATTCACAGCCCACACTAAAGTACGGCATACAGGCAGGGGATTTCATGATTGCCACAAACATTCTCCTGTCAGGAAATAATTACTACAAAGTAGCACACCTGTTCAACTACATGAACATGGGCTTTGTAGGGAAGGACACATTTTTTAACATTCAGGACACATACTGCATTGGAGCAATAAAGAACGTGTGGGAGGAGAAGAGATCTGCAGCCATTCAACGTGCGAAGAGTAAAGATGGTGTTGTCATCTTAGGTATATTCCATGTGGTTGTTTTTTTATTGTATTAAATTAGCAAATAACTATATGAATTCTGTAAAATTATTTATTTTAGATTTTCTGTTTGATTTCGTTTCTTTATTAAAATATTTTAGAATTAGTATAGCAATTCTTAAATGTTTGCTTATTGTTAATACTATGCTTGTTCATCTTCTATATCAGTGATCATTTAAATATTTATTGTGTCCTCTACAGCAGACGGACGAATGGACAGTCCTGGCTACTGTGCCCAGTATTGCTCCTACACTGCCATGGAGAATGATTCAAAAGAAATCATCTCACTTGTTACCATCGATAAGAGGCAGACTGCACGTAATTCTGTGATAATGGAGAAAGAGGCTTTTGTCACGACCGTGGACAAGCTTCTTGGTGAAGTGAAGATTGCAGAAATTTGCACTGATGCTCATACACAAATTGCCTCTGTTATGAGTAAGTTGAGTTATTGAAAGAAATACCAGAAAAGGATTTTGATATGTTACACATGTGTACTGTATGTTTTGTCCGCTGCTCTTTTCTCCTTTGTCAGACAAAACTACTGGTCGCTATAAAGACACAGGAATTGTTCACTCATGGGACAAATGGCATGGGGTGAAGAATTTAGCCAAATCAATCTCTGCGGTACGTTGTCATTCTTGAGTCTCTTTGTTGTGCAGGTATACATTTAATGTTGCTTTATGCTAAAATGTAGTAAACCACATATGTTATGTGCAAACTTAGGCAGCACAGCAATCTGGACAGAAGATCCTTCTCCACTGGTTAAAAGAAGTTGTAAATCACTTTTGGTTCTGCTGTAAGACGGCAGACACGGAGCAACAGTTCCTTGTAAGTATTACACTAGAAAATGTTTTAAAAATTCATTCTTAATTAAAAAATAATATATATATATATATAATATAATGTCCATGCACCTAATCCTGTGCATCTATGTGCTATGTTAGAGTATTTTAACACGTCAGGCCAGAGATAGCTTTTACACCTTTACAAACAATTTATTCTCAGAGCATAATGAGGACACATGACAACACCTAGAATACCTCTATTATTTTGATGTTAAACTATGTGATTACATCCAAACATTTGTATTTTAGAAACTATGGAGCAGTGTGCTTCATCATGTAACAAACAAGCACGAGTGGTACCTTGGTCACTGCCTGCATGGGCCACTGCCAGATAACCAAGACAGACAATGGATGGAGAGTGGTTCCCAGGCACATAAGGAACTGGAAGCTATAGTGTTTAAGAAGAGGTGGCTCCGAGATGTCCACCGATATCTACCTTTCAGGTAACTACAGGAAGCACTATCCCTACTGCCTAATTCTTTTATACATTTTTTTAGTTTTTTACCTTACTCAACAATGTTCAAAATGATATTGAGTAATAATTTACAGTAATTATTTCGGTATTACATTTTATTTTATTTTACATACTGATTAGGTTACAGTAAGTGTTGAGTAGCCCTGTTTATGAAAATATAAATTATTTGTACAGATCAACCTGTGAGCTTGAGGCATTCCACAACCACATGCTTATGTATGCCAGCAAGCGGTTCAGCTATTCACCGATGGTGTACGAGGCAAGAACTCTCCTGGCAGCCCTGGATTACAACCACCATAAGGATAGACCACCACTGCTAAACAAAAAGGGGGAAAAGATGTAAGAATATCATAATTTAACATGCCATACTTCCACAAAAGGTACTAGCACGGTATGATTGTGAAATGCAACATTTTTTTTGATTTGCAAAAAAACATTTTCTTTGTCAAATACAAATTAACATATAACTGTATTTAACAAATATATATATGTTTGTATCAATATAATATCATACTTTACAGCTTTCGTAGAGTGTTTCAGAAAAAAACAGGGAGATGGACAGTACATGCTTTGAAGGCAAAGAAGGACTACAGCTACATACCAGATCTACAGGCAGCAATTCTGAATGAAAGGTTACAGGCTGACAAGGGGATGCCAAGGCGTCGGACTCTAAGACCAGAGGATCCACGGAGACTAGGCCTACTTCCAAACGTTACGCCTCCACCTATTGAAACTATTCTAGAGTCCCATGTCAATAGAGGGATAGGTATGTCCATTAAATTATCATTTGCTTAGTAGTGCATAGTAGCTGATAAGATATTTGTTACAGGCTAATAATTTGTGATAGTTGATATGATCCGTATGTTTGTTTTACAATTCATATGGATCAGTGAAATGTTTGGTACATTGTTCTTATTTATCTGTACTTAATGCAATGTTTTTTTTTTTACCTCTACAAAGGAGCCACTGCTACACTACATGAGACAGATGAGCCCTGAAGTACAACCTCTCATCCACACCACCATAGCTCTAATTTTGACTGTCGTCTAAACCAAATTAAGTTATTTTGTTTATAAAGTTTTGTAATCTGACAATAAATTATTCTTGGTCTTATCTCATTTGAGTGTCTTACCTCACTTAGCTGCTTAACCATGTACATAATTTGGACAACGGTTAATATTTGTTAAAGAAATAATTTATTGACAGCCAGAAAAAAAAAAAATATTGCACAACCACTTTAACAGTGTTGTTTTTTTATATTTATAATACTCTTGACAATACAGTATTTATTAAATAAAGGCAAGTAAAGAACAATACAGTAACTATTCAATAAAAAATAATATTAGCATATAGTATAAAATCAAATTTAAACGAGGTAGTAGAAGAGAAATAATTAACATGTAACATAACATAAATAAATAGTTGTCCAATCAGTTACTTTCACATAAAAGAACACAAACGAGAACATGACTTGGGTTAGCAGCAGCATGCTCTGAAATTACAAAACATCAGCTATAAAACCAGTGTACAGACCATTTGGGTCTGGATATTTTTCACGTATTATGCACACACAGCAGCTGGGGATGACCACACGGTTTCTTGGCCCAAGTGAACCACACTGCCACAAGACATAATTTCTATATGCAGCATAGCGGTATTCCCGGTTGTCATCCCCAGGTTGCTGTGTGTCATGTAGTGCATAAATGTCATTTCTCAATCGGCGTGACAATCGCAATACATGTTCATCTAAAATGTACAAAGACATGTGGGGTAGCTTGCTTATACATGTGGCCTCTGTCATTCCACAACATTTATTTTCAACATCTGATGGCATTTCCCTGCAATTTGTACAGAAGCACCATCCAGGTACACCCTGTAGTGGTTGTTCCTCTCTGTGAGCATTAGGTTGAAGCACATCAAGGATGAGGCCAGGTTCTCTGTTAAAAACTCGAAGTAAAAGACCTCTTGCATCATCCAAACACATCTCCTGTATAACCTCCTGAAAAAAAATTCAAACATATTTTACTACCTAATACAGAACCTATCCAGGACACTTGATATTATGTCCACACTCACTTGTGTCATCAACCGCCTGTCCTCCTGAAGCCTAGCCACCCTCAATCTGTCCTCTTCACTCAATGATGCTGTATTTCCTCTGCCTCTAGCTGCATGTGTTCCTCTTGTAGCCCTCCTCTGTCTGCCTCTCGCTCTTCCTCTTGCTGCACTGCCAACTTCAACTTCTCCACTCTCTCTTCCAATCCCTTTTGCTCTTCTCATCCCTCTTCTCTTTCCTGTGGATGCTCGTCCAACTCTACCCTGTGATGCTTCATGCCTTATAGTTTTGGGAGGACTCCAGGTCTCATCTGGATTTGATACTTCCAGTGAGGATGTATCTGTGTTTCCCTATAACACATGCAACTGTCAATATCACTTATAAACAATACGAGATACATAGGCGGCCTATATGACGTGACAGATCAATCATTATTCATTGTGTTTATTTACCTCAAAAACTATCAAGTGATCGTTATGCTGATGAAAATACACAGTTACATTGCTCTTTGAAAAGTTCGGTAATGCTTATCACGTATTGATCAAGATTATGGCAGTGCAATGAAATAAAATCGGATATGTGTTGTTAAAAAATATTTAGCCATTACTTGAAAATGTTGGTTAAAATTTACTTTTAGTATGATTGGTTTGAACACGTAAAACAACACGACATTAACCATAAACGCGTAAAACTGCGAAGCATTAGGCTGACCCAACAAATAATTTGATAATAGGCTGTAACAGGATAATATATAGCCTTACATTTCGCGTTACTTGCAGTTAATTCATTATGGTGACAAAATATTGCGAACAGACGTATAGGTAATAAAAAAACGAATAAATTACCTCATCCGTGATCATGATTCATTACTTCCATACAACTCGGGATGTGAAAACGACATCTCCCATCGTTCCACTCTCGTCCATAGCGTCATCAAGCTTCGCCTTTGTTATTGTTGGAAACTGCGCCCTCTTGTGGCCAAAAAAGTTACATATTGTATCTTTAACCATACATTTTGTTTTCTCAGACTAACCTCCCCTCATAACGAGGCCGTGACCTCATTTGCTCGGAGCTATGTCTGCAAGTCCAGATACATGCTGATAATGACGACATTGTGTGTAAGTAATTTTTACTATTTTCTCCTTTATTGTGTAATTTTACAGTGACTTATGTTGTTTATTCATATCACTCTCATTTAATTGTTTTCCAGCTGCCTGTAAAACATATTACGAGACAGTGCGCAGGAGCTTCAGGTACATGCAGCCAGATCTTGCATCGCAGGCAGCTGTGAAGAGTTCAGCTCGGAATCGAGCGAGAATTAAGAGGGAAGAGGGTAAGATTTATTTGATACGATCTGTTTTTGGACAATGTGACTATTTTTCAGGTGAATTAATAGATGTGTTGTGGTCATACGCAGTGCTGTAGCCTACTGATTGTCTTTGGTTGTGTTTACAGCTGTTAGAAGCGAGACAGTGTGCTAGCTGAGGATGAGGTGAGCCTTTGGAAGCGCGCTACCACATGATGTCTGATGAGGAAGATGGCATCGTTGGCGGGGTGTGGATTGTGTGACCTCCGTCCTTTCGCAGCCAGGAGCTCACAGAGCTCTGTGCCACGCTGAAGTCGAGATTAGAGGCGATTCCAAAGTACAGGGATACGCACCACAGACGTCTGCTAAATGGACCAAATTTTGCAGCCGCGAAGCTTCCAATTTGTTGTGTGGGTGGATCTCCTATGCTTTGTGCATATAGATAGTTGTTTGTTTGTGTTAATAAAGCTCTTTCTTTGAATGAACAGCATGTCTCTGGCAAAATTATTTTTTCTTGATGGTAATAATAGATGGTAATTGTATATGAATATAATACAACATAATAGATATGAATATATATATATATGAATACATAGTTTAATAGCATATCATATGAATATATATATATATATGAATATATACATAATTTAGTATGTAAATGTATTATTATTACAATTTTGGGGTTTACATTTATAATGAGGCAGGGTGACCAATAGCAACAGATCTGCCAACCAATCACGAGTGATTTTTCTTGTTTAAATGTAGTGGTTTCAACCAATACTGAGTGAGGTAATTCAAGCCATTCTCTGGCAAGGCGCGCGCGGGCGCTGCCATTCATATGCTAATTAGAGCCATTAGCACCTCCGCTAGCTCTCCACATACGTCATATGGTACGTTTCCGTCAGTATGTGGCACAGGCGAACGCGACGTTCGCAGGCTGTAAATTGTCATTAACTGACGAAAATTAGGGAGATTTCCGACCGTTTATGGGGACGAAAATCCCACTTTTCATGCAGTGACATGTGATTCCTGTACAAAGATTATGTTTAAAAGTTAGTCCTATAGGCTTTACAATTGTGTGGTACTTTGCATGTCTAAAAATACAGCCAAAGCTTTAAGCACAACTATTTACTCACATACAGTAGTTTATAGTGGGAGAACATCTAACTGTATATTGTACTGTAGATTGTGAACGCTCCATTACCTGTTTATTTGGGTCAGAGAACATCCTTATCTCATACATCTCTTTAATTGCATGCTGGATGTTTTAAGTGTTAGTTAAAAACAAAAAGGTACTAGTTAATAACAAACAAATAAAAAACTATAAATGAACATGAAACCATTATATTAGTAAATATGGCATAATTACAGTTTTGAAAATGACTTCCATAATATTTTCTTTTAGTAAAGCTATGTCTGGATCACCCAACACAATGTTTTGCGTTTGTGGGTGAGCCCTTACATAGATTCATATTTATCATGTTTTTACTTTGAACCTTTGTAGACATAAGAAATGTAAATTTTATAAACGCAGAAAGTATCAATGAATGACATTGTGTCAGAACACTGCAAATATAAAGAAATGCTTTTACATTTTTATTAAAAATTTAAAGCAAGATTATCCTTTGAAAAAGCATAATACAAATTCTATACAGTATTTGATTTTGGTATAGGTAACATTGGAAAACGTACCGGGTTACGTATGTAACCCTAGTTCCCCGAAGGGACGGACGCTGCGTGTAATCGCAGTGGGAACGCCCTCAGCGTGACGCGTCTGAAGCATGAATGAAATCAGTCAATGGAGAGAATGAGCGTACGGCGAGTGACGTCATCGACCAGGAAGCTATAAATATCCCCTGAGTACACAATACGCCAGCTTAAAAGTTACTGAAGCAGCGACCCAAGGGGATGCCGAGAGTATGGCAGGACACGCAGCGTCCGTCCCTTCGGGGAACTAGGGTTACATACGTAACCCGGGACGTTCCCCTTCAGGGACTACCGCTGCGTGTAATCGCAGTGGGAACGCAATACCCACATCCCCATACGACCAAATCCCCGTCGTGTGTCATTAGGAGACACAAACCGACGAGAGAACCTGAGCCCCGGGAGTGGAGCTAAGATCGAGGGAATAAAATCTAACGAAAGTGTGCGGTGAGGACCAGCCTGCCGCATCACAAACGTCCTGAATAGAAGCTCCTGAAAGAAGAGCTGTAGAAGCAGCCATACTCCGGGTGGAATGAGCCCTTACAGCCAAAGGTGAAGGCTGATGGGCCGAACCATAAGCAAGTGAGATGGCCTCGACCACCCACTTGCTCATCCTTTGCCTAGATGCAGGACACCCTTTCTTAGGTGACCCAAACAGACGAACAGTTGTTACGATCTCCTCCACAGGGCAGCTCTGTGGACGTAAGCATCTAAAACCCAAACTGGGCACAGCAAATTAAGTTTCTCCTGGTCTGACGTCAGAAAAGGCGGAGGACAGAAAACCTGCAGAACTATAGGT